TAGTGCGAATACTGCGTACTCCGCTTGCAACGCCTATTTGGCCACATTCACCGCGACCGGGAAGGAACGCTCCACATCCTCAATCACAGCGCCACATCCAACGACTACGACTGAACACACGAACACAGTGATAGATGCGTTTTAGGAGCTACCTGAACAGTTTTTCCTAAGCCCATACTGTGCGCTAAAATACATCCAAATCCAGGCGATGTGTTGAATTCACTAAGTGACTCCACGATGTTGTCATATCTGCAAACATAATGAGAGTCACATTAATCGCGTGTACTACGACAACACTTACAGGAACCGAACTCCTCCTAGCTGATGTGGCTGGAGAACATGCGTGAGGTAAGGAGATACATGGACATCGGGATCTTCGGGACCATGACCTTAGAAGGTATGGTTTTTACTTTCACGCCTATTGTACACCTTTACCGAGAGACAAACCAGCGTTCACAAGCAAGCGACCCGTTTGTGTGAGCTCGATTTTCTCCAGCTCATGGGAGTTTCTACGCTTTTTCATCCGCTCTTTCTCCATTTTGTGCTGTTTCTCCATCTTCTCATGGTCAGCCTAAAGAGGAGTCTTGACCAACGAATCGAAAACCAAAAGTCTTTTAGAAAATACCCTGTCTTTGTCTGAATACATCCATCTTGATCGCTTTCCTGAAACAGTACGCATTCAGCGATAAACATATAATAAACAAACAACTTAAAAGCAGCCGAAAAAGAGTTTACCATAATCATATAGCGGTGGTACGACCCGATAGCGCGTGAATGAGCTACTTTCTTGACTATCATATTTTTCGTCTTCATCACCGCTAGATAGCTCGATTACCTTGAAAAAAGAAAAGGGATCAAATAAGTACATAATAAACTGTGAGTAGGCAGTTTTCAATCCACCATAAGGCTTAAAAAAGAAACTTTCGGCATCACGTGTTAGCTGCATGATTTCTGACACTTCCCCTAAGTTACCGACCATAAGGAGCATTAGCTATATTCAAGGGAGATGAAGCAGAAGTGATTCATCAGTTAGGAACTGCCTCTCTCTGGGCCTCATGATGGATGGAAGTGCTAATCTACTGGCTAATCGCTGTTTTTCCCAGGATAAAGGATAAAGATAAAGTTACTGCCGTTGATCAAATTCGTTCTGGGATGCGGTACGCACTCAGCTCCCATTCAGAAACGTAATGACGAATGCAATGAATAGAAACACTTGCTGGGAAGAGAACACAGTCAGTGTTCTAATCCTCCCAGACGTATCAGGTAGCAGTTTACCGTACCCAGAGGGTAGAAGGCTTGATTGATCTGGGCGAAAGCCGATCTGAATTTGACCTTCGGACCGCGCGCGTGATGAGCGTGCCACATTCCACTACACCACCGCCACTTTTTTTCCCTCACAGCGGAAAAAGATGCCTGTTGTTGTTTCAAATGCCTTGGAGGCTCTGCACCAGAATACTTCACCTTATTGGAATACCGCATAAAAGTAATGTTAAACGAACCTCAGGCTCAGCTTTGGGAGCGCTGCTACTTATGATAGGGATGTTTTTCTTCGAGTCGAGACCAGGGTCGGAATCATCCCCTATCTGAAAAGCTGCAGCTCATCAAGCAAGTTCAGAGCCACTAAGTTTACCGGTTATACGATAGAAGAAATAGGAATAAAAGGCCTATTTACCAGACATATTACTTCAGGATCGAAAGCATCAAGGACTGGAAGGGGAGTCACCGGTTTCGGTAACATCGCAGCAACCTGAAAATTGACAAAATGTGAAGGGTCTTGAACGAGTATTGCT